TGTACTTTTTCAACACCTTGTAATCATTCTGAGCATCTTATTTTCCATCTACTTTTATTATTTTTTTAAATGTTACCAGGAAAGGAACTAAGTCGGTACGAGTGCAGGATGGGTGCGTTTACAGCCAAAATCTTTGGGATACAGGGTAGGGTACGGCCACATAAACCACCAGCAAGAGAGCAGAAGAGGGAGTCAACAGCACCACAGCTTCCCTGTAGGAATAACTCAAGCATACACTCTTACTCAAGAAGGAAAGTCAGTCTATCAACCCACATTTACTAACCTGCTGTGTCAACACGCTGTGAGTTTCCACCTTCACACAGCCCTCCACAACTGGTGCTCAAAGCCCACAGTCTAACTGGATAGGACCAGCCCTTGTGAGTGCAAATCCAAAAGTAGGCAGGCAAAATGCAAAATTCAGCCCATACCTCTCAGAGCTGGGAAGAACTGCCACTGATGACCCATGGACAGAGAAGAAAACATTCAACTTCTCCTGGAAGGAAACACTCCCTTCAATATGTTTCACAGATGCAAGAAAACTGAGTATTGTCATGGATTTTAAGTACTTCTGAATAGCACCACAGGCAAACAAGGGAAAAGAAAAACAAACTCATGTGCAATTTTAGAGTGTAAAAAGAACAAAAAAAACGTCAAGAAAAACAAAGGGAGAAGAATGGCATCTGAACTCTACCTATACTGTTACAATGCATCAAAGTGTCTTCTCATCACACAGTAAGTCTAATGACTGTAACACATGGTCCTTCCATCCCATCTCCTCTTCATGGAGTAAGATCTGCATGTTCAGCAGTTTTGCTCAGTTTATTTGCACATTCTGCTCTCACAGCAGCTCTGTGCTGACTGCAGAAGCAGCAGGTTAAAGAAGCACACCTGAAGGGAGGTCTGAATTGCTGCTGCTGCCCTGATCCATTTACTCTTCCATGTAAAGAAGAAGCGTGATGCAAAGTTCACAAAGATAACTTTTTAGGTCCACTAATCTGGGCATAATTCAAAATTTGAAAGCAAAATTTTAAGTCTGAGAATATGAGTACGCATCTGAATCTTTGTCTGACCTTTAATGACATTTTATCACATCAGCTGCACCTTTGATACTTCACCAATTTTAATTTAAAGCAATTTGCAATGGGACTTGCCATCCACTTTCTGCAAGTGGTAAAAAAAAAAAAAAGCTAACCACTACTCTGTGCCAGTCATCATCATTTCAACCTCCCTGTGATGACTAATATATATTCCTAGAACTGCTAAAGTGAGAGATCAGAACAGGCAAAGCAGAAGAAACTTTGCATAAAACCATAACCACACGTTTGAAAATTAACTATCATGTTAAAGAAATGAGGCTATTCCACCATGTAAGTATAGCCTTCTTAGAAGTGTAAGATGAAACCCCTTAACCACTTTTAAACTTGTAATTTTATTTCCTGTCTTAATAGCAGTGGTGTTATTGGTGTTAAAGTAGATACTTACTGTAGATATTTAGCAAACTATGCACACATTTTTTGGTCTCTTAGTGGAGGTACGCATTGGAAGGTTTGTTGTTTTTTTTTAAAAAAAAAGTTTTATTTAATTAGTTTAAGATGCGTGTGTGCAAAAGCTTTCACAGACTGGTCAGTGTCAGCAATGTCAGCAGAGACCTCTGGAGCTCAGCTGGCTCAGCCCCTGTTTAAGCAGGGACACTCAGAGCCAGTTGCCCAGAACCATGCCCAGGTCTACAGTCAATGATGTGCGTGGGAGACCAGTACCTTTCTTGACACCATGCTGCCCTGCCAGCTCCACCTGAACCCAGAAGGACAAGTCCCTTGCCCTCAGCTACCTGGAAAGTGAGTGGTATGTAACAAGTAAATAGCACTTGGATGATACATCCAGTAAAGCCTGGAATCAGAACAAGCTGGTCTAGCTTACAGCTCACCTCATTAAGCACAGGCTCAGCTAATGCATGAAGCAAGTAAATATTGTTCATTCCAACAGCCCTTATAATTACTTCATATAAAAGCTGAATAAAAGGTTCATTTAACTCTGCCAATTGGTAGGAGAAAGGAAGTAGAGCTATAGTAACCTGCTAAGGAAGTAGAATTAGAAACAAGCATACATTATTCTTCAACTTCTGGTAAAGTTATGGGTCCTTGGTATTTTCATATCTTATGAGACAGGATTTCACCTCTAGACCTGTCAGCAGGCTCCTTATTGCAGGAGAAGGACATCAGTAAGAATGGCATGTCAGCATTTCCTTCCATATAACACCGTATAAAAAAATAAAGAAACATGTAGGAGAAAGGTGAATTCCACTCATCACTACTTTTAGAAAATCTGATTTCCAAGCACTTAAAGACTTCAGTTACAGGCAGGAATGGCCAAGTCACGAATAATGCAAACCTTTGCATCTTCAACTCTTGGTGAATGCTGATCCTCTTGGTAGGGAACAGTCTGACCTTCTAGCAGGGCATCAATCTGTACCCTGACCTGTATAACCTAAGCTAAGTTGTAGCCCAGATCTAATTTGATAGCCAAGATCTTTCTGAAGAGATGCGTCATGACATGCGCCTGGCCTGTATTTTTAATTGCAAAAGACTCATTAAATACAAGTATATAAAAGAAAAAAAAAAGTCATCACTATTAACACCAAACTAGCTTTCTTAAAAATGTGAATAAGCTTCCTACCAGCACTGACTTCCCATTTATTAAAAGGAAGTTCTAGTTCTTCCCTGCTGAAAAAAAAATATTATTTTTAGCTTTGCCAAGAAATTAGTGAGTAGCTGTATGTACATACAATGATATTCAGAAATAATAAAAAAAAAACCACAAACACCAAAAGAGACAGATTTGAGTTTTGTTGTTATTTTTCTTTGATTTTGTGTTTGTCGAGCACAAACTAATTCACTGTTACAGGTAACACAGAGTAGCAACAGCTCTCATAACAAAGTGTATCTCCTTAGGATTCTCAATAAATAAATAAATAAATGTAAGAAGTTACTGCCAAAACTTTACCTAAAATGCCATATAATTTCTGCAAGGTCTTAAACTCCTACACACATAAACAGAGAGAACATGTATTGTCAAAAAAAACCACCACCAACAAAAAAAACCTACAACTTAATCTGAAGCTTTTTCCTACTTCTTGTTACAAGGTGCCATGTTGTGAAGTTGCTAAAAGCCCTGGAGGCAAGGAGCTCTTGAGGATGTGGTTAGAATTTTCATACGAACAAAGCTCTATGTAGATTCTCCATGATAGCACTCTTTCATTTCTGTAAGTTTACTTGACAGCCAGGGCACATTCCACAAAAATTTTATACAAGGGTACATTAGGTCTTATGACGTAAGTAGGAATGAAATTTCAAATCAGCAGAATATATTGCACTGCTAAAAATATCCAAAGTCACATTTTCTTTCAATTACAAACGCTGACTTGAACATTCATTCAACAATATCTTCAGTTTTGTACCAAATTTTTTTTTCCTAGAAAATTTTGATTGAAGTATAACGTATGCTTTGAGAAACGAATATATTTCTTGCATCTTATTATGCTAGATTTCTAGACAAATCTGAAGCCAGTCCATCATGTCATGCTTTCTTCCAAAACTCCATATATGCCTCAAACTCAAGCCTGACACTGTGCTATAGTGATCAGACGATCCCAAAAAAACCCTCTAAAAGCCATTAAAGTCAATAAAAATGTCTCTACATAATCCTAAACTCATTAGTAATGATGCTGGCCAATTACAGCCATAAGAATTTCTCTTCTGCTAAATTTCGTTCTGAAGATAAACATTTGCCCCTTTTTACTCTGGCACCATAAAAAAAAAAAAAAATGGTATAAGCCTGCACAAGGCTGTATGGAACACTTGTAATTTTAAGATTTCCAATTCACCCTCCCTCTTTTTTCCTAGGGTTGCAACATCTTAAATTCTAAACTGAATGCTTTGAATTCTGAAGCAGATAAAGTTCAGTGCATTGCTCACTTTAAGAAAGCGCACTGTGGCAAGGTCATTTCTCTCTCTCCCATTAAATACACATACAGATTTATGCACCGAGTACCTGCTCTTACTTTTTTAAGGAAGTTTTCCTGTTGACAGATGTATTTTAGACAAAACATGTCTTACATCAAAACTGCACTAGAAGAACTGCTCAGTAAAGAGTGTTTCACTGGGAATAGCACACTTCTCTACTATGTACAAGAACAATACATGTGGTCACTTTTCTGATTTGGTTGTCTTTAATTTTCCCCCAGTAATAACTGAATTCATACTTTTGGCTGATAATAGCAAGAATGCTTCAATTCATCATCTGGTTTACACTGAACAGAGGTCAGCTTGATAGCAACTGCTGAAAGAAAGGAAGTCTGTATGAAAGATTTTAGATTTACAAAGACAGTGATAAAAATAAAACTGAAAAAAAAAGATCTTACATCTGAAGGGCAAATAAACATTTTACACACAGAGAAATACAGTAACTTTAAACTGCAGCAGATAGAGTTATTTTCACCACCTATTTTGAATGAATCTTTACTGCCTCCTGCCTGAGAGGCCCTTGTGCAGCCCATGCTTCCCTGCAGGGGCTTCATCAAGCTCTCCTATCTGCAACATAAAATCGAGGTTCGGACCAAAGGGAGCACACAGCAGCAGCTCTCCCTACGTGTGGGAAGGGTGCTTGGAGCACTCCTCCCTGGCAGTGCACGACCCACTCTGGGATGTGCTGCCAAAGGCCACGCACACCACCAAAGCCACTGCATCAGAAGCATTCTGCCCTGCCAAGTATTAACCTCCCAACAACCTTCCTGCTATTTCCTCTGCTATCCACAGATAGCAGATTTATTGGTTTCTCATAAAGTTTGCTCAAGGACACCACGCTGCAGCAAGCTATCTCAGCCTCTCTATAAGCACACCTTGCCATCTGCTAGCAAGACTGCAGTCAACTCCACCACCCGGATAAATCTTCCCCCTTTGATGCGAGATTTCCCTCTCCCCTGCCCAGAGGTGACCATACTTTACCCGTGCAGAAGCTCCCCAGTGCCGCGGGATCACAGCCGGCCGCCAGGCAGGGCAAGCTGCCCTCCATTGCTGGCCCCCAGCTTGGCCCCTCTGCCTGCAGCCCCGGCCAGAGGCTGGAGGGGGTGGGATGGGGACAAAAATCCCAGGCTGCCGCAGGGAGTGGCTAGCCCTCCGACGTCAGAAACACACCAATAAAGGCACTTAGGAGTGCATGCGGCGCAGAAATACTTCACCGTGCGCTAGCTATCCATCAGCGATCCCAACATTACGACTGTCTTGCCCTTCCCCCCCCCCTTAAGGAAAGCAGAATTTACCAGCTGCTCTTCAACCTGCTTGAAAGTCAGAAAATGGGCATTGTTTACATACACACACAGGGTCTTGCAGAGCTCTCCATTTAAAACTAAAACAATTAGGCTGTCACACAGATATACCCTGCCATGTCTCTTCCAGAGAGACAACACTGCAACATATTCACAGAGAACATTAAACATAGCTTTAAAATCGTGATGGTAGCTACAACAAGACAACAGCAGTCTATTTGCAATAAGTCTGAACAATAAGAAGCACTGCAGATAGCTAATGATGAGGATTTTTGTATTTGGTCAATCCAAAGAAACGATTATTGTTCCAAAGAATGTCTATTTGTGTCAAAGAAAACCAATCTAACAGCAGTAGAAGCACAATATGAAATGAAAAGTTCACACAGAGGGGAGGGCAACAGGGTGGCTATTTGTTTAGTATTATATTGGAATATTTTTCCTATGACATCTTTCAAGGCAAAAAAGCAATGACGTCACTCACAGTATACTTGTATGCATTTCATTAAAATGAAGCAAAGTACCAGGGATTTAAGAGCAGGAGCTTTGCAACTGTATCATTCTGTTAAGTGGAAGAGACCTCATATTACAAATGCATTACAATCTATTTAGTACGATTGTGATTTTGTCTGCCTTGCAAGATGAAGCACAGCCAGATGAGAACTAATGAATGCAACATGTGTTCATTCTTTTGGTAGCCATGCCTGCAGCCAGTTGGCAGAATGAATGCAGCAAGATAAATGTCAAAACAAAGCTATTTGTGAATATGTATTGCATATATTTTCCTCATCTCTCTATCATTCTTTGAATAGTTCATTTTCAAATGTTGTAAGCATATTAAATACTGCCTGATTTAAGCTTTTATTTCCATCAACAGGATAATCGAAAATACATAGGGGAAGTTCATGACTCCATTCAAAAACGAGGATGGGCAGAATTTTTTTCCATGCTCACAAACAAACAGTTGATAAAAAGGTTCATAAAAACACATTAAGAGAGAGCACCAAGAGTTTGGCATTTCTTACCCTGGAATTATCCATCTGCATAATTCTAATAGTATCTTCATTTCCCAGCAGTTCCTGAAGGAACTATAGGAACCACATTGGAGGAACTGACCTCTGCAGTGGTTTAAAAAGAGAAAGCCAAACAAAAATATCAGGAAAAAGCCCAGACAGTCAGCTGAACACAACTCTCCTACATTAAGCAAGACAGACAATGACTGTGATTAATAATTGTAATAAAAAGAGCCTAAGAAACTGAATGATGGAAAGTGATAAAGGGCAAAAGGCAAGGGAGCAATTAAGTAAACAGCTCTAAGCCAAGATACTCAACACACAGCTGCAGCACTGGGATTGACCAAGACCCCCTGCTTTCCACTTGTCCCAACCAACGTGTTGCATCACATTATTAGAGGAAAAAATCCTCATTGCAAGATGAAACACTGAGTGTTATCTTGGGTGGGCTGGACGCACAGATACATTTTAGTATCCCTTAAAACTTAGCACGATTACAAAATATGGGAAAAATCCATCATCAGGCTGTTCCTGTCTCAACAAAAGAAAAAAAATGCAGTAGGGCAGTAAGCTTCATGAAGAAGTTTCATTTTCAGGATGAGACTATGAAGAATAGTGTTTGAAGATAGTTTTCAGTATACTTGCTCACGTGAAAACTCTCATCCCACCTGACATCTTTTGCCCACTAATTTGAGGACCTGGGTCACAAGTCCTTCATTTAACTTTAAATCTTTCTTGAAAACCTTGACCTCTCATTTGGATTTTTCCTTGCTCATCTCCAGCCAGTACCTTCCCTCCTAAGCCACCTCCCTCTTGCAACCCTCCTATCTCCAACAGGTGTCTACCTCTAACAGACCTAAGCACCATCTCAGGCTTCCCTTCTCTTGCAGTATTTTAGCACAACTCACATTTAAATAAAACACACACAAAGTAGGCAAATAATCTTTGCCTAGGAAAAAACTTCCTGTGTATTAACAGTGCAAAGTATAATGTTATATGCCCATGAAAAAGAAAAATAAAAACCACCAACCTTTTCAATCTAACATAATAAAGCCCATTAAAGATCAGGAGTAAAACCAAGCATGTTGAAGAAACATGGTTTGTTCGGTTTTGTTTGATGAGTGGGCGGGGGGGGGGTTGGTGTTGTTTCTTTGGTTTTGCTTTGTTTTTGTTTTTGTCACCAACATGGGAGTTTTCTAGAACATCACAGTAAGAACAGTGGATGTCTCAAATACTGCAGAAGCATCAGTCAGATGATGAACCTAAGGCAAGAATCCTTTGAAACACTTCAGCTTCTTAAGCACCTAAACCCACTCCAAACCACACAGTCTTCAGAGGTGGGGGCACATGGTTCCTCTGACTTTTGAAGAAAGCTACAGTAAGACACAGACTCTTGAGTCATCTCTCATGCAAAGAGGAGGTAGCAGGTTCCCTGCTACTCTGCCATTGTTTTTCAGTGTCCCAGATCCAGCTGGGAGAGCTGGGGTACTCCCAAAAGCTACTGTCCCTCAAGCCACACAGGCTGAGGAATGGACGTGGTCTTCCTGGGTTATCATTGGTAAGTGAAAATCAAAAGATGATGGTTGAGTTTCCTTGGTAATGATCCTGCTACACAGAAGGTATCTGCAGTTGTATGAAGGTTAGAAAAGGTCTACCCACATTTTCATGGAACCATCTACCTCCCAGCACTGCAGGCTGTACAAACCACAGATGACACGTGAGGTAGATATGTTACTTACGCCATTATAACAACCCCTCCATAATAATAATAATCCCTCTATAATAACACTCCCACCTATCTTTCCTTAAAGATAAAAGGTGTTTTGTTTTGTTTTGTTTTTTTTTTACACCTGTTGCTATTAATAATCTCTAATCAATATAAAATAAGCAGTATACAGAGATGAATTTAATGACTTTAAATTGCAAGAAGGAACATGAGTCAATCGTATTTCTTCACATATAAGAAACTGATTGTGTTTCTGCTGGAAAACAGTCCTTCAACTATTTTGCTTTAGTCTTTCTGAAAAGAAACTGCAACCACATTTCAGTTGACAATTACCTTCGGGACCAAAGGTATCACATTCCAGCAGCTGCTGCATCACTGCTGCACCCTACTCCAACCCACGAAAGAGAGAACAGTAATTTCTTCAGTGATTACCCAAATTCTTCAGAGAAATGAAGTCATCCAAGCCAGAGCATAAAGCCTCACCAGTCAATAGCAGCTCTGCCTTCAGGTGACGGAAGGCAGTTGTGAAACAGCTAGACTTGTAAATCGCACCTCATTGCCACTTCACTGCCAGAAAACAAGAGCAAGAACTGATACAGAAGACTGGAATACCAGGAGTTTGCAGTGCCAGGGAAGGCAGTACACAGCCTCAGCATCCACAAGCCAATGGTCCTATGCTGAATTCCTCCATCCTATGGGCATTTTGCCTAAACTACAGCTAACAAGCAGAAAATGTGAGAAACAAGACATCTGTATCCAACCTTTAAAAGCCATCCTGAGGCTACCTTCCAGAGCTGAACCATAGTGGTGGCTGTGCAGTCAGCCACCCTGGGAAATCTGGAGAAGAATTACTTGTTTTTTTTCCTTTTTCCCCCCTCTAGAACATTATATAATCAGGGGGAGGAGTGGCGGGAAGAAAGCAATAAAAAGCAAAGATGTATTTTAAGAGTAACCACCTGAATGTCTGTTCTTGCTGCACGGTTATTCAGCTGCATCAGCTGCCCACTCACAGCCCTGCCGAGGTGGCAATACACTGATGGGCAGAGCAGGAAGGTGGTCGTGCTAAAGGGTGGTGTTTCACCAACCATAACATCAGACAACAGCTGTAGCACGCCTTCCGCAGCCTAATAGCAGCAGTTGCAAAGCAGACTGCTTGCAGCTGCTTTCCTGCCTACCCATCAAACGCAATAAGGAAATGGCCAACAAACAAGATGAAAACGTATTAAATCTAAAACACAGCCAGGAAAAGGTTTCTCCAGTGAATTTTACTTTGGGCATATGCTCCAGAGCACAGCTGTTGCATATTCTACACAGTGGCCAGTGAAAATGTGCAACCCTGCCCCCCTGAGAAAGAGAAGAGCATGAGCACAGCATCCACGCCAGGAGTAGCCTGTATTTTTGGAGATCATTGTAGTTTCATCCATGGTCCAAAACCCACTTAAATTCAAATGCACAAATGGTATTTCCAAAGTTACTGGTAAACCATGCTACGTTGTTAAACACATTGCATTCTCCTTCTCTGAAAGTAATCAGCAAAATTATGATTGTTCATGTAGACAACTAATTGGCAGTCTTAGTCACACAAAGCCCTGGTTATGGACTAGCCATGGTGAAGTGCCCAGCTGCCAAACCACTCTGCTCACCTCTGCAAAAGAGGGTGGGGGAGAGGGGGGATGAAACAACTGCAAAAAATGTTTTTTGACAAAGCAGTTTCAAAATAAAGTATTTAATTCTAGAAACATTACACTGTTTAAGAGTTGTATATTATTTCAAAAAGAGTAAACGTCTTTCTTGCCTATCAAAACATCTCCTAATGTTGGCTGTTGCCATATGTTGATTATTATTGCTACTTTTAAAAGTCACTCTAAACTAAATTTAGCATGGAAAGAAATACAACAATAAAATTGGAAACTAGTCCACTATTCATGACAGAGAGTTTCTCATTTACTATCCACTCTGAAATGCTGAGGAACTGGAAAAACTGTTATGAAAACAACACTAATGAAAAAAGAGATCCTGGCCTCAAAACTAATGCTCACGGAGAATGACCAGCAAGAGATTTGCTGATGCACCTAGTGCTCAGTGCACCAGAGCGATGCAATCCCTATCATGCACAGAAAGGTGCTGTGTGGGCAGCAAGGAGGACTGGAAATACAACCCACAGGTTGGCTCTGATGTAACAACCACTCATCAAGCGGCAAGTCAATGAGGGAGAAAAGACACAGGTACTATTCTGGCTTTGTCCAGATAGCTTTCATCGTCTGGACTCCTACGTACACCTGAGCAGTGGGGTGATTGCCCATATTTGGGACCTCACTGTGTAAACATTGTAACTCCTATTTAAATATTACCTAGTACACGCAAATGTGATGTAGGTGTCAGACCTTCAACTATTACAACACCTCAGAGTTTGACCTTATCAGGATATCATTTACAGCCACAGTTTTGACATATTACATTTAACAGGTGTACAGTCCATAAATTAATTACCCTACTGATGGCACAGGCTATCAAGCGAAGTGGTTCAAAGGGAATCTGAAAGGACACTTTTATATCTGTCATTCCTTCAAATGTACCAGTCAGCATATTTTGTACTCTTAGTAAACTGGGTCATAATAATAAACATCATAGCCTGTTTACAAATAAGAGGACTGAAATATTGTGAAATCCTAAGGTAGGGCCTTATGGCCTCATGACCTATACTGGAGAATATAACAGATATCATACCTATGTTAAAAAAAAAAAATGGTTGGAAGCTTCCCGTGCACGTCTCATTTTTCAGTTGTGTTCTCAGTATTATATTTCACCTTCACTTTAAAACTTGGTGAATGTAACACAGGAGACTTACTGAAGCAGATCACTGGGGAAAAAAAAGGACCATCAAGAACAAGCCATACTGTTTTCAAAACTGTCATTAGAAGGAACTAGCTTGGTTCACCACACATCCAAAGAAGTCAAGAGACCTTTCAACCAAGTTAACAAACTATATGCCATGCTAGAAGTCATGTTTATTTGCAAGTTTGAATAATTTTACCAAAATGAAATTAGAGATTGATTGCTGATTTATTCTTCCCACATGAAAAACTAATGTTACAAAAAATTGGCACAACTGATACTTTGGGCAGCGTCTCTGGAGAAAAAAAACAAGGGATAATGAGAAACACCATACAGTCTATGCCACTGTAACTGATAGGTCTTTCACATGTCAAGATTGCAGTCAGCCTTTGAATACAGATATGCATATGTGGATATTGCCATAAAATATTCTATAGGTCAGGACAAATTATTTCTTCCTTTGGATCATCAATTCTGTTATGACAGCTAAAGGTCAAAGCAAGAACAAAATGAACAAAGAAAAAAGAGAGAAAATAAAGAA